ATATATATATATACGGACGACCTCTCGACAATATGCGTTTTTGCTCACTGTAGTAGTGCTACAGCAAAAACGCATTAAAACCACTATAGATCAAATACTAAAGCACCACAAGCAGTATAGGTGGAGACGAATATTACTACACAAGAATGTCACTTTTGTTACGTTTTAGCATGCACTGTCGACAAAACGGATAAAAAATAAGCAACTGTACAGCACCGGTCAGCATTGTTGTGAAACAAAGAACGTAAAACATACAATTAACAAGAAGTACGCTTGCCATACTGTCTGCCTGATATTCCTGAAAATACTACTGCGCTAATCATTGAAAATGATGGAAAAAAAGAAATACGGTCATTCAAAGTTTTCTGCCGCTCCAGTTCTTCCCGTAAAAGATAACTCGACAAAAACGTTCCAAAGGAAAAGCGTAAAATCTCACTTAAGCTGCTTCTTTTTACAATCCATTTCTTTATTGTTTTTATCCTTCTGTTTTCCTCTGTTATTCTACAGTTTCATTACACATTTATTTGCTCACTGCGTTTTGACATTATAACAAACATAATATTAATAGATTGTTGTATACATTATATTAAAGTAAATAAAGCGACGTTGCAGCATAAAGACGGAAAACAACGGAATAAGTCATATATGCTATAAAAAATGCCTCACTAAGATCTCAGCTATGATTTTCAGCCTTTATCGGTCGAAATATTTCAGTGTTTACTAAACATTTGTATCATACAATATAATATTGTTTACCTTATATCCATATTGAGTTAGGATCATAACGATAACGAAAGGTGCCACTGACTGCGCTGGCCTAACCAGTAAAGCGGCTAAACTGTACACTGTAGAAGAAATCGGTTTTCTGCAATACAGATACTTTGCAGTTGCCAAGAATATCATATTTACAAAAACAAATAATAAAACAAAGCGAGCAGTTTTGAAGAGTATGGCATAGGCGCACCTGGTAAGTGGGAGCGCCCCAGAAACATTATAAACATGAAAGCTCCTACTGATGGTATATAAATGTACATGTATAATAAGATTACTAACAGAAATCAAAATGTCGACCAAAGTAAATCATCGCGGTGTAGGAGTGGCAACGGACTAGGCAGTTTCGAGGCACAAAGGTACAAATTAGGTAACTCCTAGAATGTCGAAAAATTGTGTGCCGCATTTTGCCAATCTAGCTTCGAGTG